TATATAATTGATGGATGTGTGGCCAGCATAAGAATGAAACTGTAACATGACTGGGCTTTGTAAAGTCGCACTGTGCAGACTTTGCCCAAACGGTGGCCATTCCAATGACTATCACGGTTTATGACAATCAAGGAAAGTAATAAAGGAAATGTAACACCAAAAAAAAGCACAAAATAAAATAATTCAAAATCACATAATCATTGTAAGAGGGCCAAGTACTTACTATGGGGGTCCCGAAGGGAATATAACCTAAAAGTAATGAAATCAAGACAGTCACATTAGCGGCATAGATAATAACTTTCCTTTAGCATTGCAGTCTGACACTTGGGGGAGCCGTTTATAAAAACATTTGCATAGCTATCGGTCCCACAAAACTGCGTAGACAATCGTTCTGTGTGAATCGTACATTCTATAAAACTGTGGCTGTTGTGGGAATGGGACAAAATTGAATGTTCAGATGTTCTTAGGCTATTGCTTTAGGCTATTTTTGGTTGAAGGTTGAAGTCTACACTAATGGATGCTGATTCAGGCTAAGGACCTTCTAGCTCAGTACTTTACACCAGTCTAGTCTGTATCATCATCTACCAGTAGCGCCTCTACTTGATATCATTCTGCGACCTCTGAGATGGCGCTCTGACCCTGGAACGCCAGCCTTGATAAAATGGAGTCTCTTTCTGGCTTCCGAAGCGCGTTGGGTGTTATAAAACTTTCTATTCTATCATACAATGGAATATACCTGTATCTGGATGAATAACCCATGGTGTTGCTCTTCAATCTCTGATCCTCTTACTTATCAGAGAAGGGTAGCTGTGATTTCGGAGATATAATACCACATCCAGCGTATATGAACTGGCACTGTGTCTGCTCTCCTATGCACCATGCCAGGCTATATATACACAAAAACACTAGCCTGGTGAGGTCATGAGAGTCAAGTGCAGCACAGATTGGAAAAGGGAAGGTTACTTTTTGCAGCCGTACCTGACATTCGGAAAGGCATGAATATCTTCTCATTCGTATCCGGGTGGATGATGGCCTGTGACACAAAGAAACACACACGTCACCAGGATCAATGCCGAGATGTCCCACTAAGGGGCTCGTGTATAAACCGTCACTGGATTCATGCCGTCCGCAGTGTTACTGCCACTAGATGGTGCTGAGGAGCACAGGAATCTCCTATGCTCATTGGCACCATCTAGAGGTGGTAATTCCAGGGCTAATGGCATTCACCCAGTCAAGGTATATACATGAGCCCCTCAGAATTTAATTTTAGATGTATTCCAGGCACATATTTAAAAAAAATGGAATCCAATTATTAATTAGAAAATAATGAAATGTTTACTTCCATAGAATAAAGTACATAGTAGAAGTATTGGAATCTGTTTTATAATCCGTCTGCTTTAATCCACTGAACAGCAACAACCTGTCTGGTAGAGGAAGAAGCAGCTCTAGGATACACACACCGATCAGCCATAACATTATGACCTCCTTCCTAATATTAAGCAGAACACTTTTCCTGACCCGTCCAGGCATGGACTCCATTAGACCTCTGAAGGTATCTGACACCAAGCCGTCAGTAGTAGATCCTATAAGTCCTGTAGGTTGTGAGGTGATCGGCCTCCATGGATCGGACTTGTTTTTCCAGCTCATCCCATAGATGGATTGGACCGTGATCTGGAGAATTTGAAGGCCAAGTCAACACTTTGTTGAACTTGTTGTTGTGTTCCTCAAACCATTTTTGAACCATTTGTCCAGTGTGGCAGGGCGCATTATCCTGCTGAGAGGCCACTGCCATCAGGGAATACTGTTTCCACAAAGTACGTCTCAAAGTAACATGCACAGGAAAGGCAGAACACGAGACTTCCCAGCAGAACATTGCCCAAAGCATCACACTGCTTCCGCCGGCTTGCCTTGTTCCCATAGTGCATCCTGGTACCATCTCTTCCCCAGGTAAGTGACACACACGCGGCACTCACATGATGTAAAAGAAAATGTGAGTCATCAGACCAGGCCATCTTCTTCCATTGCTCCATGGCCCAGTTATGATGCTCACATGCCCACTGTAGGCACATTTGGCAGTGGACATGGGTCATTATGGGCACCCTGACCGGTCTGCAGCTATGCAGCCCCATTCCTAACAACCTGTGTGCTCTGTGTATCCAGAAACCTTTCTATCAGAACCAGCATTAACATTTTCAGCAATGTGAGCTACAGTAGCTCTCCTATTGGATCAGACTACATACGACAGCATTTGCTCCCCACATATATCAATGAGCCTTGGCTGCCCATGACTGGTCCACCAGTTTTCCTTCCTTGGACCACTTTTGGTCGGTCATGACCACTGCAGACCGGGAACATCCCACAAGGACTGCAGTTTTGGAGTTGCTCTGACCCAGTTGTCCACCAATCACAATTTGGCTCTTTACACTTGCCCATTTTTTCTGCTTCCAACACATCAACTTCAGGGACAAAATGTTCACTTGCTGCGTAATATATCCCCCCCACTTCCAGGTGCCATTGTAATATATCCCCCCACTTCCAGGTGTCATTGTAATATATCCCCCCACTTCCAGGTGTCATTGTAATATATCCCCCCACTTCCAGGTGTCATTGTAATATATCCCCCCACTTCCAGGTGTCATTGTAATATATCCCCCCACTTCCAGGTGTCATTGTAATATATCCCCCCACTTCCAGGTGTCATTGTAATATATCCCCCCACTTCCAGGTGTCATTGTAATATATCCCCCCACTTCCAGGTGTCATTGTAATATATCCCCCCACTTCCAGGTGTCATTGTAATATATCCCCCCACTTCCAGGTGTCATTGTAATATATCCCCCCACTTCCAGGTGTCATTGTAATATATCCCCCCACTTCCAGGTGTCATTGTAATATATCCCCCCACTTCCAGGTGTCATTGTAATATATCCCCCCACTTCCAGGTGTCATTGTAATATATCCCCCCACTTCCAGGTGTCATTGTAATATATCCCCCCACTTCCAGGTGTCATTGTAATATATCCCCCCACTTCCAGGTGTCATTGTAATATATCCCCCCACTTCCAGGTGTCATTGTAATATATCCCCCCACTTCCAGGTGTCATTGTAATATATCCCCCCACTTCCAGGTGTCATTGTAATATATCCCCCCACTTCCAGGTGCCATTGTAATATATCCCCCCACTTCCAGGTGTCTTTGTAACAAGTCAATCAGTAGTTCATACATTACATCTCAAATAGGAGACCTCCACCTGATAAAATGCAACAAAGTGGATGATGCCATACTCACCTCTGCACCAAAATGTACAGCATCATCATCATTCCTCCATCCCCTTCTACTATATGTATGACCTCATCTTTAATCCAATGTCATCTATGACTTTATCTCCATTCCTAGGTCACATCTACCCTATGCGTGACCTCATTTTCATCTCTAGGTCACCTCTACCAAATCTACAACCTTATCTTTATCCTTATACTACCTGAACCAAACATATGGTCTCATCTTTACCCCTACATCACCTGCACCAAACAAATGACTTCATCTTCATCAGTTCAGCGCCTGAAGGAAGTGTAAGACACCCTTTTCATACCTGTACTATTTGCACTACACATATGGCCTCATCGTCATCCTTACATCACCTGCATCAAACATATGACCTCATCTTCATCCCCACATCATCGGAACCAAAGATATGGCCCCCATCTTCATCCCTAGATCATCTGAACCAAACATATGGCCCCATCTTCATCCCTAGATCATCTGAACCAAATATATGCCTTAGCTTCATCCCTGCATCACCTGCACTGAACATATGTCTTTGCTTCATCCCTGCAACACCTGAACTAAACATATAACCTTGTCTTTATCCCTACATCATCTGAACCAAACATATGGCCCCCATCTTCATTCCAACATCATCTGAACCAAACCTATGGCCCCCATCTTCATTCCTACATCACCTGAACCAAACCTGTGCCTTAGCTTCATCCCTGCACTAAACATGTGACCCCATCTTCATCCCTACATCATCTGCATCAAACATATGACATCGTCTTTATCTCTACATCACCTGCACCAAACCTATGACCTCATCTTCATCCCTACATCATCTGCACCAAACATATTACTGCATCTTTATCCCTACATTAAGTGCACCAAACATATGGCCCCCATCTTCTTTCCTATATCATGCATCCTACATCTGCACACTACCCACAATAAATGTGTGACCTCATCTATAGCCTGCCCCTACTTGCAGGAAACCCACCTGAAAATGGTACTTATGATTGCAATGGCAGAGTTCACCTCAGCAGCCCTTGCCTGCTGCTCTCCATTTCCCACAAGCCTCTGCACTAAATGCTCATTACCATTAGCATCAGTTGCAAAAAAATCCAACCTGCCGAAGGGCCCGCCGGGCATGTGGAGCTCTCACATGGCACACAGCCGCATGTGCCCTACGTATCTCACCTCTGCACAAAAGGTAAAGGCGGCAGATGTTAGCATTAGCGGCAAACAGCACAATACAAGAAGCCCGCATTAGATGCACATAAATTGTCAGCCCTTATGGCTCGCTTGTCCTAAGGCATCATTCTTTTATTTATTTTTTCAGTTCCAAAAAGGTGTTTGTTGTTCAGTGCGCACATCACCTGTGCGTTCTATAGCACACCTGATCTTTTCTTCTATCAGCTTCTCGGGGGCTTTGCAATTAACTCGGAGAGGGAAGATGAGAACCTTAAAGCCATCAGTGCAGTGGAGGAGATGAATATACAGAGATATTCCACCTCTCCACAGCAACTTTTTGTAGCACTTATAACCCCCTTCCCACCTGGAAAAACCTGAAAAGGGGGGGTATGCTTGTCACATCGATTGCACGCTCTCAGGAGTTACGTAGAGCTGTCTTTTTTACTCCTTTAAATGTGTTTTTTGTGGGATTTTAAGATTTCACCAATTAACACATACTTAATTATCCTATCATTAATTACAGGTATGGTTTTCTGAGGCAAGTAAAGAGGTATATTTCTGTATCTATAGGCCTAGAAGGAATTTATTCAAAGCAGAAGGGTCTATGATTGAAAGGTGGGCCAGTGAGCCAATAAAAAAGGTCACCTCAGTGGTGGGAGGATGCCAAACTTAAACCTCCTCGTAAAGACCTTTGCTGGCATGAACATCAGGTCCAATGTTACTTTATATGCGTGACAAAACAAAAAAGAAAGATCAATATATTCCCAATTTATACTATACTGGAACAACCTTGTTGGTTAGGGTGCTCTACTAATTGTCAACTGGCATCACATATGACCCAAGCAAAATATGTTGCCTGCATACCTTGGAACACTTATTAGCAGGCAACATATCATCAGGGAATCCTGCACAATAAATGATGTGATCACCCAACAAGGTAAAGTCTAAGTCAAGACTTAACATACATGGCAGTCTCACAGCATAAAATAGTCTGATGTCAGGAGACATTGCAGCACTTCAGTTGTGTTGCACCAACCTTAGATGAACACCGACCTGAATGAAGGGTCATTACAAACCAACCCCAGTCATAGGTTCTACACTCCAGGAGCTATAAAATAATAAGTCTTGTAAAAGGTGGATGTGTTCTAAAAGACTTAAAAACTTAATTTGAAGTCAAAACTAACTTCAAGTGTATCTGGCTTTGTAATGAGATGTAAAACAAGCACATATACACTATATTGCCAAAAGTATTGGGGAACCCCTCCAAATCATAAAATTCAGGTGTTCCAATCACCTCCATGGCCACAGGTGTATAAGATCACGCACCTCGGCATGCAGACGCTTCTACAAACATTTGTGAAAGAACGGGTCGCTCTCAGCAGCTCAGAGAATCCAACCGCGGTACTGTGATAGGTTGCCACCTCTGCAATAAGTCCATCTGTGAAATGTCCTTGCTACTAAATATTCCACGGTCACCTGTTACTGGTATTTTAACAAAGTGGAAGCAACTGGGAACAACAGCAACTCAGCCACAAAGTGGTAGGCCACGTAAAATGACAGAGCAGGGTCGGCGCATGCTGAAGCGCACAGTGCGCAGAAGTTGCCAACTGTCTGCAGAGTCAATAGCTACAGACCTCCAAACTTCGTGTGGCCTTCAGATTGGCACAACAGTTGAAGAGTTGAAGCTGTTATAGCGGCAAAAGGGCGGAGCCAAATCAATATTGAACCCTACGGACTAAGACTGGGATGACATTTAAGTTCATGTGCGAGTAAAGTAGGCGCCCGATACTTTTGGCAATATCATGTAGGTGTGATGGTCAGGAGTCCACATGCTTTTGGTAAATATTTTAAAAAAGTCACCAAACCAGAGCAAGCACATGTATTTCAAGTTTCTCTGTACCTTACGTGGACACTGCAAAAATGGTTCAACTAGTTTAAGGTCTGAGATACAGCAAGTAGTGAGGTTGGGAACAACAACTGCTGTCATTTTTGTCCTGATGGCATCCATTTTTAAGAAGAGACACAATAAGCAGACATGATGTAGAAAAGAAAAGACTTTAACCAGTACAGTTTGGACTCACCTGCTTTATCTTCTGAGCCGCCCAGAGCTGAAAAACATAAAAATGACAACAGTGAGTGATGTCCATGAGCCCCCAAAAATTGTCAAAATAAAGTAGGAGGATATAAGCAGAAATTATTTTTTATAATGATTTATGTGATCTTTTTTTTTTATGAAATCCACAGGAATATAAAAAGGGAAAAACATTGCTTATAACCAGAGACATTTTAAAAAAAATGTATTTTAATGCAGTCCCCGTGGTATATACACCGGTAAACACTGTAATCAGCAGTATTATTTTTATGCAATCCCTAGAAAATGTGTAATTGGAAAAAAAAAACTAATATAATATATATAATTTTTTTTTTTAAACCGGATTT